GTCGCACGGGCGCAGCAGGCAGGAGCCAGCTCCAGCCACGGAGGGCGGACGGGGAGGCCAAGCCCAGGAGCCCAGCGGTGGGGGCACAGAGGGGGAGGCGGCTGTCGGGGGACCGGAAGGGGTGAGGCCAGCTCTCAGGCTGAGAGTGGACTGCAGGGGACAAGGTCAGGCCTGGGCCCGGGGTCGATCGGAGTTGGAGGGCTGGCTGCTGGGGAGGAGGTGGGCTGGTGAGGGTGCTGCAAAGGGGGTCGCTGACCTGCCACCTGTCAGGTGGGCCAAGAGGACCCCCCCCCGGGCAGGTCCCGAAGAGGAGGTCCTCAAGAAGGAGGAAACAGAACAGGCTCCGTCTTGAAAGCAGGACTCCATCTCCAGCCGGACTGTGGACTGTGAGCTATGTGCCCAGTGTCTATGGAAACGACACGCCAACAGGAAAACCAGAACCACCCCCCCCACCATGGAAGAGCCCCAGGGCTCCTAGCAGACTCTCTGTTGCCTACAAGAATACCCTAATTATCTGTGTAACCGAATAGAATCATGCATTCTATTATGCTTACTGGGGTATGACCACAGGCCTATTGATAATCATCCACTGTTAACTCCCTAGGCTTAAGACATACAAATCAGGTTAACTTTGATTGTATCTTTCTTTTCCTTTGTTCAGACTAGTTTCAGAGAATTTGGGGAGGTAGGTTTGGGCACTTACACTTAGGGTATATACGGTTTTCACAAATGCTGGTCGGGACCCTTGGCTAAGAGGACGCTCTGCCTTGGGCCCGCCGGTGTAATAAACTGCACTCCACTGTCTGCATTGTCCTTCTGAGTGAGTTTGTTTCTTGGAACGCGTGGCTACAACACTCACACTCTCTATTTGGAGGAGTTGGCCCAGGTTTCTGGTTGGAAATTGACATTATCTGTTCATTCAAAAACTATATTTATACAATTTCCCTAAGCAGGGCTTCCCAGGTGGCACTAGTGGTGAAGAATCTGTCTGCTCATGCAGGAGATACAAGAGATGCGGGTTTGATTCCTGGGTTGGGAAGATCCCTTGGAGAAGGAAAAGGCAACCCACCCAGATGTTCTTGCCTGGAGAGTCCCATGGACAGAGGAGCCTGGAGGCCACAGCCTATGGGGTTGCAAAGAGTCGTACACGACTGAAGCGACTTAGCACATACTCACACCTAAAAAATGTGTAGGATGATAACTTTGTAAAACACTTAAACGGTCCCCCCCTTACACACACACACACCCCCACACAGAGGAATATCTTTTGTGGCACTGTTGAATAGTGCAGTTTGTATGTTTTTAAAAGGAAACAAGTATTCACCATTAGCAGATTGGCTCCATAAAGTACGCCCTAAACCCACTGAGCAGTGAGGGACCTAGGGCCAGCAGGTCTCCCACGCTCACTGCTGGGGAGGCGGCGGGACCCTGGGAAGCTGGTAGATGCAGATTCTGGCCCCAGGGGTCTGGGAGGGCCAGCAACGCGAGTTTCCAACAGGACCCCAGGCAGGCCGCTGTGGAGAGAGGTGACTGGGGTGGGAAAAGCCGAGCCGTGCCGTCAGGAGCAGGCGGGTAACTGCACAGCTCTGTGCCCCACTCTGGTGAAGCGCGGTCAGAAGGCCAGCTAACACGTGCATTGACTCTGGAAGGAAACGTGCTTCTGGGAGGAAGAGCTTGAGGCAGACCCCCTTTTTCTAATATTTATTTATGAGGCTGTGTGGGGTCTTAGTCGTCTGTACCAACTCTTAGTTGTGGTCTGTGGGTTCTAGTTCCCTTACCAGAGATTCAGCCCAAGGCCCTGGCACTGGGAGTCTCAGTCACTGGACCACCAGTCAAGTCCCCGGACTCCCCTTTCTTCACCACACATCTAACCCTGATATTTCAGGGTTTTATGGCAAGCATGAATTATTTTTGTACCAGAAAAAAACAATAGTTTAAAATAAGCAATCAGTAAATTGAAACAAAAAAAAAGTTTGGGAAGCTGAGTGTTCTGGACTGAATATCTGTGTTCCCCAAATGTGTGTATGTTAGGGGGAAGGTGTTAGGAGGTGGGGTCTTTGGGGGTGATTAGGTTGTGGGGGTGGGGTTAGGGTCCTTATACCCAGGTTCCAGACACCAGGTCGGGGCGCCCGGATCTCTGACTGCCAGCTCCAGAGGCGTGGGGAGCGGACGTCTGAAGTTTCAGCCGCAGTGCATGGTGTTCTGTTGTAGGAGCCCGCACAGACTAAGACACAGAGTGGAAGGTTAGACTCCAGCTGTGTATCATCTTACTCTTAATAGATCATCCGTGCTATTATTTTAAAGAGCTGTCAGCAGCCAACAGTTTGTTCCAGGCTGGGGAGCAAGCGTCTGATGCAACAGCCTCCATCCACCCATCAATTCTGAGTCGCCGAAGGCAGCCCTGCCAGCTGCCCGGCCGTCGCTTCAAAACGCAGCACCGTTCTGCTCACCCAGCCTCTGCCCACGTCTTCACCGGCTCCCCACTGCGCCCAGCATCCAGCCCAGGCCACCCCCCAGGCCTCGCCCACTTCTCCAGCCCCACCTCTGGCCCACACCTGCACACACACACACACACATACACACACACACACGCGCACACGCACACCAGCACTCAGCCCCACCACTCACTGTGGCCTGTGTCACCCACGCATCAGTCCCAGTCATCCGTGGGCTCGTTCACGTTTGCAGCCAGATGCCCAAGCCCCCTCGTCCCCTCCAGCCAGCCCCTCTCACCAGAACCAGGGGAAAAGGCATGAGCCGTCCAGTGCCCCCAGGCCTGCAGCCCCGTCGAGGCTCCGAGAGGTGCAGCTCCCTCAGGTGTGGGGCAGACAGAGTCGCTGCAAAGGCCGCCTTCCCCTAGGATCCTGGGGCTGAAAAACACCCCCAAGACTGCCCATATCAAGGCCCCACACCGTCTTCGAAGTCATGGCTTCAGAGCAAGAAAACTCCTGAGCGAAAGCCGGGCCCCCGGTCGGAGCAGAGGCAGAGGACCTGGGAGCCGCTGACCCCAAGCCTGGCCGGGTACCAGGCCCTCCCAGAGCACCCAGCAGCAGTGAATGATGAGGTTTGGTTCAGTTCAGTCGCTCAGTCGTGTCTGACTCTTTGCAACCCCATGAACCGCAGCACACCATGCCTCCCTGTCCATCACCAACTCCCGGAGTTTACTCAAACTCATGTCCATCGAGTCGGTGATGCCATCCAGCCATCTCATCCTCTGTCACCCCCTTTTCCTCCCACCTTCAGTCTTTCCCAGCATCAGGGTCTTTTTGGTTCCTGTTAAAAGGGGTGGGCACAAGGGTGGCTGGCTCCCTCCCCCAGTCAGCACCAGAGAAATTACTGGAGGGCAGGAGAACCTGCGGGGGCGGGGGGGGGGGCTGCCCTGGGGCCCCTCCTGCTGCCCCTCACCCCCAGACGCCCATCCTCCACCTCACTTCTCTCCAGGAATTGAGGACACTGGTCTGGAAGGTCTCAATGCAGAGCAAATTAGACACCACTCACGGCTCAGCCTTTGATGGCGGGTGAATCCTTGGGAAACAAGCCCTCCCTGGGGAGACCTCCGCACCCACACGCAGGTGATCAAGAGGAACAGACCAGGAACGAGAGCCCCACAGAGCTGCTGGGGGGGACGGGGAGGACGGGGAGGATGGGGTCAGTTTCAATGCGGAACGAATTACTTCAAAACTCACTGATGTTAGGCAGCCCTGTGGGATGGGGCGCGGATCACCCCACTTTGCAAGTCTCGCAGCAGCAAGGTCAGGATCGGAACCCCAGCCCTGGCTGGCACCTCCATGCAGGCGTCCTCCAGTCACCATTCAGCCCTGAGTACTGTGGGCCCCAGCTCCCGCCTTCCCCGCTCCACGCTCCTTTCCTGGTACCAACCACCCCGCTTAAAGCAGACATCTACAGGCTCGGTGCTGAGGCTGGAAGCTGGGAATCTAGGTGTGGGCAGGGTGGGATTCCCAGGGCTGCAGGACAGGCCTCTGCTGTGGCCCGTCCTGGGAGTCCAGGCCCCCTGAGTCCTCATCCTGCCTCCAACGTCCCCGTGGGCCTCCCCAGTGGGAGTTGGGACTCCAGTCGCCCACTGTTCGGAACCCTTGTCCTTGGACACAGGGCCTGCCCAGGCCAGCAGGGCCTCCTCCCACCCTTGTATCTGCAAAGGCCCTATCTCCACAGCAGGTCAGGTCCCTGGATGCCAGCAGACTTGAACTCTGGGGGCACCAGTCACGCTGGCAGGCGCCCCTCCATGGCGCGATAACAAGGAACATCACCCCGGCAATCCGAGCAACACCAATGAAGCACGGGGCGTCTTCACCCGGAGCCTGCAGGGCTGGAGGCCTGAGGCCGGAGCAGTGAGCACCGGGCGGTGCTCCCGCGATCAGCGCGCGGTTCCCACGGTGCCACCCGCCCAGGTGCCCGTTCACGCACCTCCCCAAGGATTCACCCCCTCAGAAAGCGCCGAGCCTTCTTTACCATCATCCCTAAGGTTTTCATTTTTAAGTAATACTGTGTGCTCACGAGCCCCTCTTGTGGGCTTGTGGGAGAGCCTGGAGGGACCCACCGTTCAAAACAGGCGGGGTTATTAGCTGCTTTGTTTTTGGTTTGACCACATACGTTTGCATCCAAGACCAAATATTTCTGTCTCTTTTTGAATTTTAATTAATAGTTATTTTATGCCTGTTTTTTGTTTTGTTTTCAATCAACGTTTTCTTTTTTACCATGCATCTCGATTATTCTTTGCAGCGGCAGTCCTCTCGGTTTTTATGTTTGCATAGTGGTCTGATTCGTGAAGATATCGTGGTTTGCTTACCTGATTTACTATTGACAGACATCAGGGTTGTTTTCTGATTGTGAACAACGCTGCACGGCGCGGCTCCCTGCGGGGCCAGCCTCCCGCCAGCAGGGGGAGGCGCCTCGGCCCGCCCTGCGCCGCGCGCCCCGCGCCGCTCCCCACCCGGAAGTCCCGTCCCGGCCGGAAGTCCCGCGTTGGTGCGTCCCCAAAAATGGCGGCGTCCACCGGCGCTACGGTCCCGGCGCGGGGCGGCTTCCGGGGGCGCATGGGCCACGGGAAGCGCGCAGGCGGGCGCGGGCCGCGCCGCGGGCTGGGGGGCAGTGGGGAAGGGGCCCTGAGGCGGCTGAAGCTAGCCGTGGAGGAGTTCGTGCAGGGGACCACGGAGGGCGGAACCCCCGGCGGCCGCGAGGGGTCCCGCGCTCCGGGCCGCGCGCGCCCGGGCGGGAGGAAAAGTCGCCGGGAGCTGAGAAGGGAGAAGCGGCACCTGAGGAAGGCGCGCCGGCTCCAGAGGGCGGCAGGCCCCGCGCAGGACCCCCGCCCGGGCAGCGGCGGCGGAGCCGGGGGAGTGAGCGGCCCCCGGGCGGAGGCGGCGCGGGAGAAGGCCGACCGGCCATCCGAGGGGCTGCGGGCCCCCCCGGCTCCGCCCAAGGCCTCCCCGGCCCGGACCCAGGCCCAGGGCACGCCTGGCAGGACCAAGACCCCAGCCGCCGCCACCGCCTCCCGGAAACGGGCGCTCCTGGCGGCCAACGAGGAGGAGGACCGCGAGATCCGAAAGCTGGAGCGGCGCCTCGGCTTGAACAAGCGCAGGAAGAAGGGCGACGGCAGCAACTCTGTGCCGCTCAGCTTTGCCCGCGACGGGCTCGACTACATCCTGGAGGCCCTGGGCTCTGGGGAAAGTAGTGGCTTGTGTGAAAGCGGCAGCGAGGCGGAGGAGGGCGCGGGCCCGACACCCTCCGGGAGTGAGCTGGAGCTGGACACTGACGCCGAGGACGGATGGGAGGAGCAGGACCTGGACGGGGGCAGCGGGCAGCCGGCAGAGGATGCGTGGAGCGAGGAGGAGGAGGACGAGGACCAGGACGATGCCGAAGAGGAAGCGCGTGGAGCCCAGGGCGCAGCCAAGGAGGAAGGGGGCAGAAAGAGGGTCCGTTTTGCGGAAGATGAAGAGAGGCGTGAAAGCTCCTCGGAGGGTGTGCGCACAGACGATCAGGTATCGTGTGCACGCTCTCGGTCCTCCGGGATCTCCTTCAGACGAACGAGGGTTGCGGTCGGGTGTGGGTCTGTCAGGTCCGTACACTTGCCTGGGGAATCCCATGGACACAGGAGCCTGGCGGGCCACCGTCCGTGGGGTCACAGAGTCGGATACGACTGGGCACACAGCAGGCAATAGAGAAGGGAGACGACATCTCCAAAGACCTTTCTCTCCCAAGGACTTGGGGGCGTCCCCACCGCTGTCCTCAGGCTCCAAACCTGACTTCCCTCCCCATTGCTTTGTTCCACCTCTGGTGTATCCCGGGGACAGCGGCAGCACCTCTGCCTGCCCTCACCTAGTCCTTTTCCTGTCCAGCTGCTCCCGGAGTGAGTCCTGCTAAAGCACAAGTTCAGTTCAGTCCAGTCGCTCAGTCGTGTCTGACCCTTTGCGACCCCATGAATCGCAGCACGCCAGGCCTCCCTGTCCATCACCAACTCCCGGAGTTTACTCAAACTCATGTCCATCAAGTCAGTGATGCCATCCAGCCATCTTATCCTCTGTCGTCCCCTTTTCCTGCCCTCAATCTTTCCCAGCATCAAGGTCTTTTGAAATAAGTCAGCTCTTCGCATCAGGTGGCCAAAGGATTGGAGTTTCAGCGTCAGCGTCAGTCCCTCCAGTGAACACCCAGGACTGATCTCTAACACTGGCTTCGTGGAGGTCTCACATTGAGGACCAAGTTCAGAACCCATGGCAGGGCAGACAGGGGCTGGAGGGATGGCCCCTCGCCTGTTAAAACCGCCTCACCTCAGCGAGCACCTTGTAGAATTACTTCCTTCTCCACCTCTCACTGGTGCAGTGTTCTGCCTCTGCACTCACTATAACTTTGGTGCGCGAAGCCTTTCATTTTCTCACTGATGCGTTTATCTGTTAATGTCAAACATCTCTGGGAACCTTCCCCTCCTTAAGGGTATGATCTGTCTCATTTCTGTCCCTGGTGCCTTAGAGCCTGGTACTCGGAGCAAGTCCCCACGTGCTGTCAGCTTCTCTCTGAGTACTGTCTTTTTGATTGTTCCCAGGTCTCTTTCACAGTTTGTGGAAGTGTAATTGACATACTAGTGGGTATCTTACGATTAAGTTTCTGTGTGCATAAATGGGCTTCCTCAGTCCAAGCGAGGATCACACCTTACAAAAAATGTTTCCTAAAGGCTTTGTCACTCAGGTGTCAGGGAGGGTTGGTGATAATGATGAATAATCCTGTAAGTTGAAAATCTAGGAAACAGTGAGCAGTAGGTTGATTTTAATTTTATCATGTAAACTTAAATACTAGTTTTGAACAAGTTTGAAGTTTTTCCAAACTTTTTCTCCAACGTTGGTGGTGCATGTAATCTCGGTGTTTGTGTGTGGCCGTGCCCACTGTCGATTGAGGCTGGCAGAAGATGTAGGGCCCTTGGAGGCACAAACTGGAGGTGCGCAGCCAGATCAGCAGAGCTCCAGAGGGAAGAGGGAGGTGATGAAATGGAGTGTTGACAGTTGCCTGAGTGAAGGTGTGTTTGTCCAGGGCTGGAGCGAGCACTCAGGAGACACCTGGTGTTCAGTAAGCAGCAGTGGGCAGTGGTGAGCGCCTGCCCCATTGCCTGGGAATCCAGTATCTAAGAATAATTTATTTCTGTCCTTTCAAGCAGAGTCTTGGTAAAAATGGTGGAAAGTACGTCCCACCTCACGTGAGGCAAGTGGAGGAGACAGAGGACGCCCAGAAAAAGGAAGAGCTGGAAAGGCTCAAGAAGCAGGTCAAAGGCCTGATCAACAGGTAACCTCGAGACGCACATGCTGTGCCTTCAGGAGACTGTCGCCTTCTGACAGCGGAGGCGCGTTTCTGGGAGTTAACCAAAGCCTGGGGTGCTTATGTTAGCAGAAGCACTTCTCTCTCAGAAGCAGTGCGTGCACACCCTCCCATCCCCACCCAGTACAGCCATTTTTCCACATCAGGAAGTACAGGCGTTTATGCCAGCTGACAATGGGAAAGTTGGAATTCTCCCAGCAGTACCTGTGGATGTGCTCAGGGTGGTCCCTGCATCTGCCTGGGGACACCGAGTCAGGATGGCAGCAGGCGTCCTTGTCACAGTCTCTCTGGTCTTGACGGGATCCTCTGTGTGCTTCACTGGGGCCGCATCTCAGCTGGAAGGAGAGCAGTTAGGTTATTTGCAGATCCCAGAGGATTGTGTGTTCCGTACATATGTGCTGGGTTTGGGGCTTGCCTACACAGAATGGGACCTGCTGGTATATTAGTAACTTTTTCCCTTTTCTTAAACTGCACCCCCAAAATGGCAGCCCTGTCGTTCTGTCTTTCCACTTGTCTGCAGGCTGAGTGAGCCGAACCTGGCCTCCATCAGCAACCAGCTAGAGGAGCTGTACATGGGCCACAGCCGGAAGGACATGAATGCCACGCTGACCACCGTCGTGCTGAGCGCCTGTGCCCCAGACACGGCCATGCCCGCCCGGCTGCTCATGGAGCACGTCCTCCTGGTCAGCGTCCTGCACCGCACGGTCGGCCTCGAGGTAGGGCTGCCGCTGGCCGTCCAGGCGCCTCTCGTCTCGGTGGCCGGCCGCTGCGGCCCAGCCCACCTTGCCTGTGCGGTCTCAGTCCAGGCGGCGCGCCGTACCTATGTGATGTTGACCGGCTTCCGGTGCTGACTGGTCCTTGTTGGCTATTAGTCTCTCCCCCTCTGGACCGCACTGTCCATTTTGCCTTCGTCTTCTCTGGGTCCCCACTGTGATGGTGACTGTTTCCGGTGTCTGAGCCTGTGTGGGGGGCCACTGGAGTGTGAGGGGAAACGGCATTAAGTGAAACAGAGAACAGCGCCTGGGCTTGGAGCGTCGGTGTCCCCGGGCGGGCTGGGGGCCTTCCGTGTCTGTGCCGTGGCCCTGTGTCGGGATTCGGTGGACAGTGCGTCTGAAGCGCCTGCTGCTCAGAGCCTGGCCCCCTCCCCCCGCCCCCAGGTTTTCGGTCCCTGCTCTGACTCCTGCGTTGGGTCAGGGGCCACACGCTGTGAGGCCTCTTCCTCACCCTTACATTGACCTTGGCATCCGCTCGCCCAGGGTGGCAGCTTCCAGGGCTGTTGACGGAGCTCTGATGACATGACTTTATACTGAGGTGGGGGAGGACGTGAACGAGGCCTCCTTTCCCAGACGACATCTGCATCAGATGAGCTTATCGATCCTTGGGACCTTACGCGGTGCAGGTGTCTGAGCAGCAGCGCGCCCCTGCTTGTCTGACCCCTGTGCACGTCCTCGGGGCTCCAGGCGGGATGGGCAGGGGTTCGTTCAGCCCCGCTTTGCAGGTGCAGACTTTTCCTTGATGTCCGCGGAATTCTGGCCTCCTCTTTTTTAAGGTCTGTTTCAATGTAGCGTGGTGGTGGTTACCGAGGGAGTGCTCCTTGGGGGCATCTTCAGTGAGGAAGCCTGAGCTGGGTGTGTACGGTTAGGCCCTGTTCTCGGCTCCTTAGAACCCAGAGGACGCGGCCAGCCTGTCAGCTGCCCCTGCAGAGCGCTTGTTTCCTCCTTCCCGTCGGCTGCCTTTCCCTGAGGTCCCCCAGCACTGCCTTACTTTGCGGACGACCCCTGCTTCCCGCTGCAGTCCATCCTCACTGGGGATTTAACGCGGCCCCTGCTTCTCCAGCCGCCCACCTGGGCTTCTGGGGGTCGGGCTTACTCAGTCTTAGAGTGCCAGTCCCTGCCTACCCTTCCCGCTCTCCTTGTGGGTTAATGCCCTCACTGGAAGCTCCGTCAGCACCCATGACCTAGATGGTTGATCCTTCCCCTCCATGACTGGCCACCTGCTTTGGTTCTGTCCCTGGGTCACTCACATCCGCTCTGCCTGCCCGGGTCCAGCCCAGCTGCAGTGGTCTAGGTCCCTGAGTCTCAGCTGGAGCGTTGCCAACACACTGCCCCCCCCCCCCGGCCCCCACCCTCCAGGCCCAGACTGAGCCAGAGAAGTGAGCCAAGTTGGATAGCATGTTTTTAGAGATGTGGGTGTGTTCTTAGCAGTTTTCACAACTGTATTTTTCCGAGGAACTGGAGTGGCTACTGGCCACAAAAGGCACCTCCTTTGGAGGGATGTCTGAGCACCTTGCTCTTGTTCAGGCTCTCCTCTGGGAAGCTCTGTGCACTCAGACTCGAGTTCTTAAACTTTCTGCCCTGTGAGATCTCGTATCCTACCACCAGTGTATTTTATGTTAATTTTTAAAGCACTAATTCTTTTAATACACGTCTAAGCGGAAAGAAGGGCCCCTGAGAATAACCTGCCAACTCGATTCTTGATTGCAGTCATGTGTTTTCTGCTCTTCGTCCAGGTGGGCGCCCACTTCCTGGAGGCGGTGGTGAGGAGATTTGATGACGTGTATAAAAGCGGGCAAGATGGGAAGGAGTGCGACAACCTGTTCACCATCATCGCCCATCTGTACAACTTCCACGTGGTGCAGTCTCTCCTCATCTTTGACGTTTTGAGAAAACTTGTTGAAACTTTCACGGAAAAAGATATCGAGCTGATCCTGTTAATGCTGAAGACCGTGGGCTTTTCACTGAGGAAGGACGATGCTTTGTCCCTTAAAGAGCTGATCACTGAGACTCAGGCCAAGGCCAGTGGAGCAGGTGGCAAGTTCCAGGACCAGACCAGGGTACGCGCCCCTCCTGACCTGCTTCCTAACTGCCTGAACGCAGCCTCAGCACAAGTGCCCCGTCCTTCCCGCTGAGCGCGGTGTCTCCTGCCTGATCTGGCGTTGCGCTTTCTCTTCAGTGTGTGAATGAACCTCCTCCTTTACTCTCACGGGTTTAAGAACGTTCAGCTGTTCAGAAGAGGCTTGCTGGGAAGGCCTGTGGTGAGGGGCTCGGGTCAGCGCGCTTCCCTGCCGCGGGACCGAGTGCTCTGGGCCTCAGTTTCCCCGACTGGAAGGTGGGGCCGATCGTGACTCCTGCCTCTGCTGGTCTGCAGACAGAGAGGCGTGGAGGAGCCATGGGGGGCTGGGGGGAGGCAGGGGCCTCGTTAGAGGAGCAGGGATGGCCTCCCTCCAGGGAGCAGGCAGGGGCTGGCCTCGGGGCCTTGTGAACCTCCCAGGGAATCGGAACCTTATGCAGAGGCTTGAGGCATGTGATGAGTTCTGAGTAGGTAAACGCACGTTTTCATGCTCAGGTCACTTTGGCTGCAAAAAAGGAGAGAAAAGCCACCTTGGGTTGGGGCGATGATTAGCAGAATTACAGCGGGTGTGAGTCTAGGACTTAGAAGTCTTCAGACTTAGGGAAGCGGGAGACAGGTCAGAGGTCACTCCAGGTACCCAGCTTGGGTCTCCAGGTGGGCAGTAGGTTGTCGAGAGAGACAGACCAGAAAGGAAGACTGGCCCGGTTCTCAAATCCTGGGACGAAGGCCAGGTTCACTGTGAGGAGAGAGGTGGGGCTGAGCCTTCTGAGGGTCCTGGGGACCGCGGAGGGGGGTGAGGTGCCGTGTCCAGCACAGAGGGTCATGGGAGCCGAGTGGGGGTTCCAGACCAACACCCTGCTCTTGTGTTGGATGTTCAAGAAAAAGGCAGGGGTAAAGGTCAGTTCTTCACATCAGGTGGCCAAAGGATTGGAGCTTCGGCTTTAGCATCAGTCCTTCCAATGAACACCCAGGACTGATCTCCTTTAGGATGGACTGGTTGGATCTCCTTGCAGTCCAAGGGACTCTCAAGAGTCTTCTCCAACACCACAGTTCAAAAGCATCAGTTCTTCGGTGCTCAGCCTTCTTTATGGTCCAGCTCACACATCCATATATATGATTACTGAGAAAATCATAGCTTTGACTAGACAGATCTCTAGCTTTGCCTATAGGGAGGTCAGCAGACACATGCGTTTAGCTCATGGTGGCCCGAAGCTGCAGAACGTGGGCGGGGGCTGGGGCTCGCTGAGGTCTGGGGGAGTGTGCTGAGCGAGCGGCGGCCCCGAGTGTTCCGTGCGCGTGGTGTGGGGGTTGTCTCAGCGCTCATGTTTGGGGGATTCTGCTCTGGGCCTGTGGGAATTCTCACTGCTGTGCTTGCAGCTCTTCTCTAAGTACAGTGTTATTTCCAGTTTGAAAGTTAAAGGAGGAGAAAGGCCGGGAGTGAGAAGGGGGCACCTGAGGTCGGTGGTGCAGCGGGGAGCCCCAGGTGGCGGCCGCATTGCTGTCGACGCTGCTCGACGGCGGCGGTGGCCGTGGGCAGGACGGCGGTCCCTCCCTTCCCCGTTTGAAAGGGCGGCTCCTCCTGCCTGCCTCAGGTCCGCTTCATGCTGGAAACGCTGCTGGCCCTGAAGAACAACGACGTGCGCAAGATCCCAGGCTACGACCCCGAGCCCGTGGAGAGGCTTCGGAAGCTGCAGAGAGGCCTGGTGAGCGGCCGCCGCCTCCCTGGGGGCCTCCTCCCCCTCCCAGGGGAGCCCGCCCCTCCTCCCTGGGGAGCACTCCTCCCTTCCTGGGGGCCTCCTCCTCCCTGAGGAGCTCCTCCTCCTCCCTGGGCTGGGGGGGAGCATCTCCTCTCTGGGGAGCCTTCCCTGTGCCTAAGCTCCCTGGGCTGCACTATCCTGTGAGGCTCCTCCAGCAGACGGGAGCCACAGGTCAGGTGCCCATCCAGTCGCAGGGGTCCCCAGATGGGGGGAAGCTGCAGGTTTTTTCCTGCAGCTTGGCGAGACCCCCCCACCCCCCTTGTGAGCCGTGGGCACCCCTGCGCTGAGCCTTCAGCCACACGGAGACTCAGAGGCGCGTCCTCTGGCCGCGGTCCCACCCAGACCAGCGAGGTCAGCCTGGGGATGAGGGCTCGTCTGTTGAAATTCCCTGGGACTTCTCGCTGTGGGCCCCTTGGGATACTCCCTCAGCCCCAGGCTCGGTCGGGTCCTGTCACCTGTGTCCCACAGATCACAGGCCCCTTGGCGGTGGCCTCGCTGCCGGCCGTGGGCTCTCCCCGGGCGCCCGTGGGACCGCTGTCCCACAGCGTGTCTGGGGGTGGGCCCAGGGAGCTCACACTCGGCCAGGTCACCTCTGACGCTGGCGAACCTCCCAGGGGTTAAGTGTCCTGGTTGTCGGGGACTCGGCACTGCGGTCCCGCACCCGGAGCACCCTCGCCAGAGCGGGAGCGTGCGGGGCAGTGCCCATGTGCTGAGCCGCTGCGCCTGCGCGGGCTGCTCTCTTACAGGTGCGCGGCGCCGGCGCGGGAACGGATCCCGAGCTCCGAGTGTCCTGGGACAGCGTCCTGAACGCCGAGCACGCCGGGCGCTGGTGGATCGTGGGGTCCGCCTGGAGCGGCACCCCGATGGTGGACAGTGGTCCGCAGAAGGATCTGCAGAGTCCGCGCGCGGGGACGGTACGTGGGTGACCGAGTCCGCACGCGGCTGTCCCTGGGGTTATTTGACGATATTACAGAAGTTGCTGTGATTTTGTGATCTCATGTAATTCCATTTCTGTTACTTCCTTTGAAAGTATCAGAACTGTTAGCTAAGAGACTTAGACGCAGAGAGGAGTGAGGGGACGCTAGGCCGTCAGACACTGGCCGCCCTGCCCTCGCTCACACCGGCGGACCCTCCAGACCTGGAGGGTTCCTCCGGGGGTCTGCTCTGTCTCTTGCTGTTGCAGTAGGGGTGCTGAGAAATGAAGATTCAGCACTGACGTGTGGATTTACCTGTAACTTACAGTTATCCCTGAGGTCAAGCCACAGGATTACACACAAGTTTTTAGAAACTTGGTAACTGTACTGAACCAAAGGAGAAATTTCAGTGACTCGTCTGTACAATCTGTGCCTTGTCTTCCCTCTTTCCAGGTTAGCTCGAAGATCCTGGAGCTCGCCCGCAAGCAGAGAATGAACACCGACGTCAGGAGAAACATATTCTGCACAGTGATGACGAGTGAAGACTTTGTGGATGCGTTCGAGAAGCTCCTGAAGTAAGCCCCGTGTGCGCCTCCTCCTTGGCCTGTGAGTCGGGGGCTGGGTCCCCCCACAGCGTCCCTCCTGCTGACTGAGCGCTGGTCGCTCTGGGTGCGGACAGCTCGCGACCTGTCCGATTGGAGGAACTGGGTGCCCACTGGATGGTTCTCGGTGGCTGTGCCGTGAGCCGGTTGACTCTTCCTGTTGTGTTTTGGACTGTGTCTCAATTAAACCCCCCACGTGGCCTCTGCACTCGGTTGTAACGAGATTTAAAAGCATCTGTGTACTTTGACAAAGCACATCCTAAAAGCCTAGTGTTAACTAATTTTCCTTTATTTGCTTCAAATTCGGAAAGAAATACAGGGGAGGTATTGCAGGACTGTGCAGACCCCACACAGCACTAAAGGGGTGGGTCTTCCCGTGTCCAGACCCGCCCTCATGGGGACAGCAGGTGGGGCGGCAGGGACCGCACTGCCGGCCCGCAGCTGAGGCTGCCCCTGTGGGTCGGTCAGCCCAGGGCCCCTGTTTCCGGGCCCGGGGGTCCAGTCCTGCCCCCACCTTCTCCGCTCGGCTCACCTCACTAGACGGCCGGACAGGGCATGCTCTGGGAGCGCTGTCTGCCTCAGGCTGCCGACATCGGGCAGGTTGAAGGTTCAGAGCTTGCGGCTTCTGTCCTCCAGGCTGGGGCTTAAGGATCAGCAGGAGAGAGAGATCGTTCACGTCCTGGTGGACTGCTGCCTGCAGGAGAAGACCTTCAACCCTTTCTACGCCTTTCTGGCCGGCAAGTTCTGCGCCTACGAGCGGAGGTTCCAGGTGACGGGGCCGGGAGGCCACCTGCCGTCCACTGTCTGACTGCGGGCCCCGAGCCGAGCGCGGCGGGTGGGCTCCCTGCATCCGTCTTCCCAGGTCCCCTTGCCCTGTCACAGATGAGGGTGCCGTGACCTGGTGCACCGGCAGGCCCTGTGTGGCCCCGTGTTTCTCTGATTTGAGGGACAGCATCTCAAAAAAAGGAAAACTGTGAGGTGGTTTCAAACTACTGTGTACTCGAAGCCGGTGTAGTTGTCTCTAAGAAGTCTTCTACTTATGGATGTTACATCTGAGTGATTAACTACCATGCTTTGGATTATGTTTGTAGTGACTATTCTGATAATTTGTGGAATTTTACCTTTCTCCCCCTTCTTATTCTCTTAGATGACATTCCAGTTCAGCATATGGGACAAATTTCGGGACCTAGAAAATTTGCCAGCCACCAGTTTCGCTAACTTGGTTCATCTGGTGGCCCACTTGTTGAAGACAAAGTCGCTGCCACTGTCCGTCTTAAAGGTGTGTGTCGCGCGCGGACTGATGCAGGGCGCTGACGCCGAGCGCGTGCAGCTGAGCCTTGAGCCGCCTGGGGTCGGGGCACAGACCCCGTGGAGAGTCGGAAAACCTTCTGGCTTTACAGTCGCCTCCGAATCCTGGTTCCCCGTGTCAGGAGTCACCCCACTTGGGAGTGTGTGGTCCTGCAGTGCCTTTTAGGGGGAGAAGTCCTCGTATAAGTGGGCGTGCAGTCCAGAAGTGCGCTCAGGGCCCAGGGCCAGTGTGTTCGGTGCCTTGGGAACACACGTGTCCTTGGATCCTGACTCACCTGGGAAACGTCCTCATCATCCGGGCAGACAAGCAGGCAGCGTCAAGTTGCCGGTAGCTTAGGGCACCGTGACAGCTGCTGGCTGCTCTCCGTGGGGCCGGGGGCGCGAGTGCAGGGCCTGCTCACACGCCGGCTGCGTTAACCTCCTGTGCCTTTGGGGTGGGGGCTGGGGTGTCAGATGCTGCGCCGAGCGTGCGGGCCGACAGCCTCGCCCCACAGCCCGGCACGGGGCTCACCCACGGCACAGACCACTCTGGCTTTCTCGTTGCTGGGGGATCGTGCCTTCTGCTTGCTCAAGTTTCAGCCCAGAAGGGACGGTGCACGGCATGTCCCTCGGCTGCAGTAGGTCCTGGAGATGCCCCTAGGGCAGGCGAGACGCCCCTAGGGCAGGCCAGCCCCCCCTCCCTTCACAGGGGTCTGACCAGGCCTGTCTACACGTTCACCCCACCCAGTTGGTACAGGGTCTCCGGGCTGCAGCTGTCCTTTCCTTTAATTCAGCATAAGCCTGAAACGTGGCCACGTTGATCTCTGCATTTCTCAGATTTTGTGACTCTTGTATAGTGTCCCACTGTGTAAGGGTGCTGTGATTTTTATGTACACAGGTTTGTCCTTCCTGGACCTAGATTCTGTGTGGCGGGGGGCGGTCTTAGTCGGGGTAGTCTCTCTGAGGCGTGGAGTGGTCACACCTCTGTGTGTGTGTGTGTGGTTTCAGTCGGGGTAGTCTCTCTGAGGCGAGGAGACGGTCGCACTGTCTCCGTTCTCGGGAGCCCTGCTTCGCTCGGCGCCCCTGCGCCCCTGGACTTGACTGAGCTCTGCTGAGTCCCCTCGCCAGTGGGCGCACAGTCTGCACCAGTGATGAGAGGGTCCAGGGCCTCAGCTGATCGTTTTATAAAACTGGAAATAACCTTAGTTAAGGGGGTGGGGGAGGGGGTAGTTATTCTCTCAGACTATGTTTAGAAATCATTGAAAAGTTGGCTAAACCAATGTAACTCTATTATTTTTTATCCTGACTCTCTTAGGTTGTGGAATTCAGTGAACTGGACAAACCCAGAGTCCACTTCTTACGAAAAGTGTTACATATACTGCTAATGGAAACAGAAGTTGAAGATCTTGGTTTGATTTTCGCAAGGTTTGTTCCCAGCTTTTTTGATAAAACACATGGAAAAGAAAAGAGAAAGCATTTTCACTTATGTTGTCTTAGAAAAGCAAGCTTGTTGTGTTTTATGTGTATTTAGGTGCAGCTTTTCGGTTTTAATTTTAATAACGTCTTGTACATTAATCTGGGGGACAGGAGACTTACCTAATGGTGAACTGAAGATGATTTGTGACTGATAGAACATGTTCTGCACTGAGCACTCTGCTTCAGTGGGAATTGGGGTTGTCTCCGTCTCCTGGGTCCCCCCGACGGAGCACAAGGGTGGCTGGTCACTGACGCGTGCCCCTTCCTCCCCAGGGTGTCTGACAAGCCGGCGCTGGGCCTGCTGCGTGAGGGCCTGAAGCTCTTCATCAGCCACTTCCTGCTGAGGGGCGCCCCGGAGGCCGGAGCCCTGCGGGAGCGGGCCGAGCTGTGTACCCAGGCCCTGCAGGGGCGGGGGTCCCTCAGGATGTAGGGGGCAGGGGGCCCCTGTCTGCGCCGAGTCTCCTTGTACGGCTTGCATGAAAGGCGGGTGCAGCTGTAGCGCCGACTGTGATGTGTAAAGTAGTGTATTTCGTTCCAGGGTTATATTGCACTTGTATTTTTAAAGCATCTTCAAATAACTATTTATATCTTCGGGATGGCGGGCGGACGGGGCAGGCGCTAGGCAGTGAGAGACGAGGGAGTGGTTGTGCAGTGTCTTATTTTTTTCAGAGGATGAGCTCGAGGCTGCAGTCTGAGAGATTGGTGGTTGTAACTTTTTATATATTGGTTAAAAATGCAGAAGTTGTCCGTGAAACGTGCCTGATGTGTTGATATGTGAAGTGTCTGGGAGGCTGGTGTCCTGGGAAGGCGGCAGCTGACCTGTGCCTCTCGGGGTGGACGGTGCTCCTGGCTCCTCACCTCGGGTTCCCACGGGGGAAGGGACAGCTCCCGTGAGTGTCACTGACTCCCTGCAAGACTCGAGTCTCCGCGGGAGCAGGCGGAGCCTGTGCCTGCCGGGCGCGCCTGCTGAGTGGGTTCTCGGGCAGGAACTCGGGACAGACCGCGCAGCGGGCGTGCTCAGGCCCCCTCCCCTCGCTGCACCCGGGCAGAGCGCAGACGAGGTAAATGTCCGCGTTGCTGAGTCCGGGTGAGGTTTATACAGATGAAATGTACTTTTGTAACTTTTCCTCAAGTTTTAAGTTATTTCAAAATAAAGAATTTTTATAAAACATGCATGCTGCAGAACTCATTTTTTCAAGGTCTGAAATATTCTGATGTCTTTCCACGAATTAAGCTAATTTGGATCACTGTTTCCTCCTTTTACCTTTAGTCTCGGCCGCGCTGGGTTCTCGTAGCTGCGGGGCGTGTCTCCGGCTGCGGCGTGTCTCCGGCTGCGGCTCGTTCGGGTGCTGTGTCCTGTCACTGCACGCAGGCTCCAGGGCGCCTGGGCCTCTGCAGGTGCAGCTCTGGGGCCCCGTTGCTCCAAGGCACGTGAGATCTTCCCGGGTCAGGGCTCGAACCCGGGTCTCCTGCCCGGGCAGGTGGATTCTTTACCACCAGACCACCGAGGAAGCCCTGAGCTTTTAAAGAAAACTGCTCGGTTCTCACTGTAGAGCAGCGGCCCCATGCCTGGTGGCTGACTTCCCTGTGACGTGCCCCTGGGTTGGCGGGAGGAGCCAGAGGGAAGGGCCTGCGCCTGGACCTGGGCCTGGGTGGCCGGGGCGTCGCTCACCAGAGCTCTGGGCTCAAGGTGTTGACTGGGGGCCGCAGACCGCACCCCTGCCAGGGTGTCGGCAGGACTCAGCACCAGCAGCTGCTGCAGAACCTGAGCCTGTCTGGGATCGTTTCCACTCCCAGTGGCGTGTGCGGCTGTTTGTCCTGAGGCTGCGGTGTCTGAACTACTCCACTCGAGGCCTCTTCCCAGTGGCGCCGAGTAGGAGTGGGGCTTGGTCTCACTCAGCATTTGCTGGGGGCTCCTCCCTGCCACGCGCGGAGTTGAGCCCCAGGACAGCTTGAAGGGTTCAGAGACATCATTGAAGTTCAACAGCCCGCGTCCTGTCGTCACATGCGCCAAGAGCAGCAGGCAGCCAGCCAGCCCCCACAGGCCAGGCACGGTGAGCTTGCCGGAGGAGGTGACCCTGGGCCCGGCCCTTCCAGCCAGACCCCGGGGTACCGGGGGATGTGGGGGCACCAGCGGAGGGTCGGGACGCAGGGCTGGGCCGCGTGGGGCGCTGGGACCCGGACAGACGGTGGGACGGGACCGGCGCCTGCAGCCTGCTTGTGAGGAGCGGGCGTGTATCTGCTCAACAGGGGGAAGCCGTTGAAGGAGCGTCAGCAGGGAGTGAAGCCGCCAAGACTGCGTTTTTGGGAACACTGCCGGCAAACAGCAGGAGGTGCCGGGTCACCTGGTGGGAAGGCTGGCGGCTGAGCCCGGGTAGGTGGCTCTCGTCCCCTTCCTGGCCCGAGACAGCAGCTGTGAGAAGGAAGATTCTGGAGACATGACTGAGGCACACGCAGCAGAAGTGGGCGCCTTTCAGTGAAGAGGTCGAGGGGGCATTTGGGGCCCTCTTAGTGCCCGTCGGCAGCAGGGTCAGGCAGGAGGGCGCAGACACAGCTCCCGAGGTGGGGGCCCCAGGGCCGCGTGTCGGAACCCCCCACAGAGGCTGAGCTAGGCGGAGGCCAGGGATGGTGCCGCCCGGCAGCTCCTAGTGCAGAGAGCGCAACCCAGGAGGGCCTGGAGATGGCCCGGGAGCTCCACACAGCTCAGGCCCGTCCCAGGACGGCGGCTGTGGCCGCAGAGGGGCTTCAGGCAGACTCCAGATGGGAGCAACGACTGTGAGCCTCTGCAGGGCTGCAGGTCGCCCCACAGGTGACACATTTAAGGTGCGCAAGTGGGTGTGTAGGGAGCGTCACGCACATCATCCAGAGTGTTCCGACAGGCCGGGAACCTCAGATCTTCCAGGAAAGGAGTACTGGCCTGAGAATCGGGGCTTTTCCTCTTCTCACATTTCATACCTTACTCCACACGGATGACGCCAACCAGAGAGGGGTCAAGTTCACACGCAGATGACGTTTATCTCAAGTGGAGCTGGGTAAAATGAAAAATGATATTTGCATGATAAGATGATGAAAGGGAAAGTGGAGACTGAGTTTAAAACGTTGTGAGGCTGCTGTGTGTGTGTGTAAAACAATGCCGTATGTGTGCACACCAGCCCGGGGAGCAGAGGGATTTTGACCTTGAGCATGTCCAAAGTGGGACGCTCGGCCAGGGCCTCTGGGGGGGGGTTATCATGTTGGCATGCTCGCATGCTCAAGTCGCCAGTCTGCAGGGGATGGGCACCCACCCCGCCCCCAGCCCCGGCACGGCCTGTGTCTTTGCTCGCAGCCCTGGGGAGCCAGCCTGTGTGCCTGGCCTGCCCCTCCTGCCCCTCACACACCTGACCGCTCCTGCTGACAGAGGCGTGGGGATTGCCCTTCGAGGGCCCCGTGACGTGCAACCAGTGTGGCATTCATCTGGCTCAGCCCGAGGTCAGAATCAGTAAGAGGACTTAAAAATTATTCTCTAGGGAAAATCATTTATGGTGGACTGTGTGTGTGTCATTTTACTTGGTCAGAAGTCCTTCCTAAGAAGATGGCAGATTCTTCTGCTTTCATTTTTCTGGTTTGTCCATCATTAACCTTTTCCCTGTTTGGTTTTTCTCTTTCTTTTGTATGTAATCCACATCCATTTACAAACACACATTTTGATGGCAGCTCTAGAAAGTAAACACGGCAGGTCAGGGCGCTTAGCTCTTAAGCCCTCAGCCTGCCTCTCCTGAGAACAAGGACACTCTCATACATCTTGAGTACAGGGGCGCCAGGACCACTCTGAGAACACGGACGTCTGTTCAGGGATGGTCCAGCAGACGGGCCGCTTGCATCCTTCTGATTGTTCTGAAGTGAATTTCCTACAGTGTTTTCTTCCCCCCTAGACAGAATACAGTCAAGGTTCAAACGTTACCTTTATTTCTCTTTTAATATAGAACACCCACCCCATCCCATCCCCACTTAAAATTTTCTCTCAAGGCCAAAAAAAAGGGGTGGGGGGACTTCCCTAGTGGTCCAGTGGTTAACACTCTGCACTTCCAATGCAGGGGGCACTGGTTCGATCCCTGGTCAGGAACTAAGCTCCCACATGCCCCATATTGCTGTCAAAAAACTAAAATAAAATTCCCTGAGAAACCGGCCCTTTGTCACAACGAGTCCTGCACGCGTCCAGTGGGCTCCGCGTGGACATGGCTGGGGGAGCACACACGGGACCAGCGGCTTCCCGGCTTCACCTCGGGACAGCAGTCAGCACGCGGCTCAGGCCAGCTGTGCTCGGTCACTAGTTAACGGCCGAGGCCCGCACAGGCACATTGTCGCCTTCATGATGATTAAGGGACATTGATCACCAGAACTTAAGGACATCTTCAGTTCAGTTCAGTTCAGTCGCTCAGTCGTGTCCAACTCTTTGCGACTCCATGAATCGCACCACGCCAGGCCTCCCTGTCCATCACCAACTCCCGGAGTTTGCTCAAACTCATGTCCATCGAGTTGGGGATGCCATCCAGCCATCTCATTCTCTGTCATCCCCTTCTTCTCCTGCCCCCAATCCCTCCCAGCATCAGGGTCTTCAAATGAGTCAGCTCTTCGCATCAGGTGGCCAAAGTATTGGAGTTTCAGCTCCAGCATCAGTCCTTCCAATGAACACCCAGGACTGATCTCCTTTAGGATGGACTGGTTGGATCTCCTTGCAGTGCAAGGGACTCTCAAGGGTCTTCTCCAACACCACAGTTCAAAAGCATCAATTTTTTGGTGCTCAGCTTTCTGCACAGTCCAACTCACATCCATACATGACCACTGGAAAAACCATAGCCTTGACTAGACGGACCTTTGTTGACAAAGTAATGTCTCTGTTTTTTAATATGCTGTCTAGGTTGGTCATAACTTTCCTTCCAAGGAGTAAGCGTCTTTTAATTTCATGACTGCAGTGACCATCAGCAGTGATTTTGGAGCCCCCAAAAATAAAGTCTGACACTGTTTCCACTGTTTCCCCATCTATTTCCCATGAGGTGATGGGACCCAGATGACATGATTTTAGTTTTCTGAATGTTGAGCTTTAAGCCAACTTTTTCACTCTCTTCTTTCACTTTCATCAAGAGGCTTTTTAGTTCCTCTTCACTTTCTGCCTTAAGGGTGGTGTCATCTGCATATCTTACAATGGGGAAAAAAATGCGGCAAAATGTGAACTTCCTATTCCCCACCAATATATTTGCCTAGTGGGACAGGCAGGTGCAGGGATGCTTGCCAGGCTCAATTATGGCAAAATGGTCATTTTCTAACCGCGTCATCCCTCCTGCATGACTAGCTGGCATTCTTTAAAAATGAGCCTTCTGTACTCCTCTGCCTTTTCCCAGGAAAGCTCAGACTCTACCATCTCGAGCCCACTGAAGTAGTGACAAGTGAGTC